TACAAGTTCTTCCAATGATATAAATGTTCGTTAGAAGTGAGAAAGAGAAACGTTTTGAATTTCAAATTATCAAACTGTAAGTTATATTATTATTTGTATTGTATTATTTATGAATAATATAATATAATATCACGAATTCTATTTAACGTAAAAAAAAAGGATTTAGAGATACATTGCTAGATACTGTAATAATTATGTATGAAACTTTAATTTTACATAAATTGTAATGATAAAATGTCGAAAGAATTGTTAAATAATGTTCATTTGATGTGAAAACCACATTTACATGGTTTCTAAGAGAACTTGAAATATGCCTCTATCAATGTTCCTCAACGCTTTATACGATCTCGTATGAATATTTTTTCCTTCACATTTAGAATATTTCCGTTTCCGGTTGGTGCGCCAACTCTAATACGAAAAATTTATCATAAAATAATACGTAATATACTCAATAAATTTTAGAATCCGTCAAAAAGGAGATGATAATCGTCTTTTAATAAGTAGTAAAAAATTTTTGGCATAATATAAGAGCACGCGCGTTCACTTTATGGTTAGGTTCGGAAGAGGAAGGGAATAAAATAACGCCAACGCGCGTAATAAGCGCGTGGACATGAAGAGAAATTAATATCGCCGCGCCGCTTCTAATTATAGAGCACTCGATTCTCTGATATGCATAATATGTAAACATGTATCGTTTCAATTGACAGCGTTTTTAATCCTGTTTATAACGGATACATGAGAACTATTAATAATACTCTTGACATCTATTAATGGTGACATTGTAGCGATGGTAACAACGGTAACAATGTCGATGATTTTCTAACGAAAAGCAAATACTCATCTGAATAATAAGCTACTTTCGATAAACCCATTGACGTTTTTATCCCTATGCATGTATTGTAAGTACACACACGTGGGTACACCCAGATAATAAAAACAACGAATAAAAATTTATTAGGCTCTCTTTACGATGTAATAAACGAATCACAATGCGTTAATTCGATGGTCAATATTTTTATTATACTGATCTTCGTGCAGTTAACGATTATTTTGCCATAATGATATATTGGAAACGCGTTATCAACGACGGATAAGAGCTTGTTCAGAAAAAGAGAAGTTCATTCCATTTTGATAGCCATCGAGTGGCTTTTAGTTCGTGGTAGTTTATGAATCATAAAGCGATTTCAATGGCGTGACTGCCATGCTACATGATATTTCGTAAAAACAAACAATCGTCTGATACGTTCGATGAATCGTCGGCTTGTTAGTTACTTAGTAGCGGATAATAATCGACTAGTATCGGATAGTACTTCTAGCAAGTACGAAAATACTTATTTCAAAAGAAGAGGTTGAGCAATGAAGAATCGCATCCACAACAACTACTCATGCTCTTTATAAATTTTACGAGACAAGATTCGAGGAGAGGATTTATTATGCATCGTCATAATACTTCATGTAAACGCGCACCTATACGACGTCGCACGTTTACGAGTTTGAGAAAATTAAACGCAAGCGGAGAATAAGGGTGTAGCTATTTTGTATAATCAAATTTTTATATCTCTGATTTATAATCTGTCTCGTCGAACGAATTATTAATAGTCCACAGGAAATTAGATTTTTCGGAAAATATAATTATATTTTTTTAATGAAAGACAAATGCAGGATTTTTTCAAAAATGGAGACAATTGAATACACGTCAAGTCATACACGTTCTCAGAAATACTGTCTCAGATCACCAGTACACCTCTTTTATCTCGGAAACGGAAAGAGCATTTAAAAAAAAAGTTTCAGATAAAAGTTGTGGAGTTCTAAATGATCTATTTATTTGATTTGATCAGTCTGATCTTGTGAGTGGCGTCACCAAGAACAATATCACTTTGAATTTTTTTAATGGAACCCCTTATTTTTCATTACATATTCTTGTAACCTCGAGAGCTTTTCAAAACACTATAATAAAATAATTTGTTATGAAGTATTTTTTGAGTTATAAGACTTGAAAATTATTATTAATATAAAATTATTATTAATATAAAATACCGCCGGCATTACGCAAGGTGTTCGACCGACAGCTAAAATCTCTTAAATGTCGTTCAGGATCATATCCTGACATTTGTTAAGATTAAGGTGATTGCTCTTATTTTCATTTTTACACTGAAAATTCATTTTTATGTACTTTATGAAAAATTATTTTATTGTAATGTTTTTGAAAGTTCTCGAGATTACAAGAATATGCAATGAAAAACAGGAGGTTCCATTTAAAAAATTTAAAGTGACATTGTTCTGACTTTGGTGATGCCACCCAAGGCCAGACTGATCAAATCAAATAAATAGATCATTTAGAACTCCGCAACTTTTTTCTGAAACATTTTTTAAATGCTCTGTTTCCGATAAAAGGGATATACGAGGGATATACTGTTTGAGATAAAAGGGATATATGAGTAGTCTGAGACTCACCCTGTATATGTAGGTCTGTCGTTTATTTCTGCACTAGAAATCTCTTTCTCAAATATTTTTGTCAAATATTAAATAAACATATATGTACTTATCTCACTTTAAATTCCAAAAGTGTACACTAGTCACAAAAAATTAAATCCTAAGTCTGCATTTTGTCAGATCTAATTTATAATTTCATTGCTTAAGCAATGAAATTAGAAGAATATAATAAAGCGAACGTAAGAAATAATACTTGATGATACGCACGCGCATCATATATATCGCATTTTATTGTAGGCACATGTTAGATCGTACAAGACATTAGACGTTCATTCGTTATTCGCGCTCGATCGCACGCATCGGTTCCCAATGGGATCGTTTTCTCAATCTTTAAACATCGTTTGCCCATGAGAAATGACTCATAAAGCGTCGTAGTATGAATAGCACGTTTTCAACATGCCTTTTGTGGTTTGTGTGCTTTCCGCACTCTGATATTTCTGGATCGGATATAGTCGCAGCTTCGAAATACACACGAAAATGTTGCCTAACGCTTTAGAGGCAAGAGCAGCAGATGTATTTTAAATGTTTCTTATGTAAATACAGTTTGTGAAGTAAATTATGCTTGTGGGAAAGTACAGGACTTAACCATTATTCTCATCAAGAAATTCAACGCAAGTTGGATGGATTTATTAGGGAGAAAGAGAGAGAGAGAGAGAGAGAGAGAGAGAGAGAGAGAGAGAGAGAGAGAGAGAGAG